CTCTTAAATGTATGGTTTGTGGCCAACGGCTTCCCAATCAACGAAACAATTTCAAAACAAATAAAAAAAGAAATTTTAGCGTACCTCTGGCAAAGCGATTACGCGCAACCACTAAAATATGACATTTTAAACATACTGTTAACAAAAGAGTACTAGGTATTCTTGACACCAAGAAACAGTGCTTAGCCCTCAGAACTAAACATATTTTTTAATAAAGGAACAAGAAAACTCTCATGAGTCTTGCTTCATCCAAAATTACTATTTGGCCCACCACCTAACCAAACGAGCAAAACTAATTCCCATGTTTTACTTAATCTTATAATTTAATAAATCTTAATTCTTAAAATATATTGGAACGAAAAAGCATGTCCCCAGCAACCTTGTTGGTGTGACGGACATGCCGATATATTTTAAATGCAAGGCTTAATGGACAGCAAATTGTTTCATAAACACGCAATACACAAACATGTCCTGCAAAACCCATTGGTTATGTTGGGTGAATATTTTTTAACCGCCTGGTAAATAACCAGACATATATATTTTAAACAGTCGGATGTCTTTATTTGTTTTTTTACTTACGAAAAAACTGTTGTGGTGTTTATTTCGATTTTTTCGCAATTTTGATTTTCGTTTTTCATTTTCCTAAGATCCACAACAGTAATTTAAATAAAAGATAGAAACAAATGAAACAAATAAACAAACAAACAAAACCAAAGAATATATGTAATATATACTATTGTAAACGAACTTTTCCCCGAACATTGTAAATAAAACCCTGTTGTAATTACTTTATATTGAAATATATGTAAATCTTAAAAAAAAAAAAAAAAAAAGTATCTGTTCTTATTTCGGCACCGAAACATCTCTCAAATGGTTACGGTGTTGTTAGAAAACAGAAACAGCACAAGATCGAAACCGTGACACTCGATAGAGGTTTTTTTTTTTGTTTTTTTTACAACACAAGTATCCGTATATATTTCAATAAAACAAAATTACATATTTTTACATATAAGTAAAAAACGTACAATTAAACAATTTTTGTACCATTAAAATTTTTACACGACAAAAGAAATTCAAAATTCTGTTTAGCGCATGCGCGTTGTATAGTGTACAAAATAAGGTAACTATTCGTTGTTTATAATATAAAGTGCTGGCTATTAACCCATGCATTTAAAAAATATATGCAAGTCCGTCGTAGCACAGGGCTACTAGGGACTTGCTTGTGGATGTTGTTGAATATATATATATATAAAATTATTCTTAAAAAATATTTACTTTGTTGTAAGGAAACTCGCAGAAGACTAAAATAGTCTTTTCATCGAGAACCTTTAAAACATAAAATAAACTTTAATGAACTAGTTCAAGAAATACACATAAGTATTTTGGTATCTACTATATAGTAAAAGTAGTAGGGCTTTTTATTATTACTATTTTTCACAAATTGTTTAATACATTTCGATGAAATTGGTTAAGTTAATTATGGTATGTCTTAGTTTTTTTTTTCAGAGCAATAAGGTTATCCATTTTATTAAGTTCCATATTTTGAAGTATTATTTTGTTATATAAGTATGGGCCACGGTATATTAAAGAAAATTGCGAGAATTTTGTTTTTTTTAAAGGCAGGGTGAAGTTGCCTGTTCCTCGTGTGATATATTTGTTTGCGTTGATATGAAAAAAGCTATCAGTAAAGCATTTCGGAACAAGTCCGAGTTTGTATTTTAGCGTGAATAAGATATTTTGGTAAATATTTATTTGATAGATATTTAATGCATTCAAATTTTTAAGTAAAGGGTCGGCATCAGTGAATTTATCTTTATTATAAATTAATCTCGATGCATGTTTCTGATGTATGTAGAGTGAATTTAATTTAGTTTTATGGGTACTTCCCCATGCAATATTAGCGTATGTTAGGTAACTTTGAATATAAGAAAAGAAGAGAATTTTTAAGTTGTCTTGGAAAAGCATAGGTTTGGTCTTGTAGAGTACGCCGATACTTTTTGATATTCTTTAATATATATAGTGTATCTTGTTAGAGAGGGGACTCAATGTGTGCGGCGTTCATCACATATTTCAACAATCTAACCCCGTAAGGGAACCAAGCGAAGTCACTCACGTTTCTATGTTTGGTCTCCCGATTGAGCATAAAAACCTCCAGATCATTATATAACAGATGGTCTACGACAGGCATGTTTACACAAATACTATACAGGTATCCTCGTGGCGGTTCCGGAGAATATGTCAGGCCCGATGCCTGTCAGCCTGAATACTATGGGATATGCACTCAGAACCAAGCACAATGACCAACAACTAACATCATTTGTACAACCTAAATCTGTGAAAAGACCAACTGAAAAAACCTCAAACCCAACACAAGAAAATAACCCGCAAGCACCACCAACAACCTCCGAAAATCAAAATACCTCCCAAGCGATAATTTTTACAACCATTCAATGTCTGCCATTCAAACTGAACCGAACCATGAAACAACCAACTCAGAACAACCCTAAACAAATCCAACAAACAAAACCTCTAACAAAATCGAAGACGTTATAATCCAAGCCAACACCATCACAACCGAACACCATACCAACGAAAAGACTGAAGATAACAAAATGAAGAGCGATACTGATGAAGAAGGAAACAACGGCTCGCAAGTGGATGATTACCAGCCATCCACAGATTTTAAATTTAAAAAAAAAAAAAAATCAATCAAACGATTACGCGCATTTTCAAACAAACTGATTTTAATTTTTATTCATTCATTTTCAAAAAAAAAAAAAGGAACTTTGTATTTAAAAACCTTTACTTTGAATAAAAATGGATGTAAGAATTCTCACCTTAAATATGAATGGTCTCCAAACTGAGATCAAAAGAAACAAAATATTTCGATTCCTCAAAAATTTGGGGTGACTTACATAATAAAAACAATACTTTAGGTAAAGCCAATTTGAATTTTTTTTTGCAAAAATTTAGAGATGGTTAATATTTATAGATATCATAACCCAAATAAAATTGATTTTACATAAAAAAAACCAGATAAAAGTTTCAAAAGTAGAATAGACAGAATTTATGTACCCTTAACAATCTCAAGTGATAGCGAATGCGCGATAATAGACAACAAAAAAGTGACCATTAAGCCTTCGGCTGCACATATAAACTTGAAAAAATAAAAGAGAGAAGCCGGGTTATTGGCACTTAAATTTTAGTCTTTTAAGCGACCGTACTTTTAAAGAAAAACTAAAAAACGACTTTAAGAAGGAAAAAAACAAAAAAATTTGATTACTCTAGTAGCAATCAATGGTGTCTCTCTTCCAAATGGAAAAAATTAACCAAAGAAAAAAAATATTAAAGAAATAAAAGACGGTGACACCCTTTACACGGACACCGTCAAAATATTAAAAACAATTAGAAAATATTACAAAAACTTGTAGAAAGCTAAAACTCTAAATAAAGAAAAAACAAACAAATTTTTAGCAAACATTAAGACATCCCTTACGGATGACCAAAATGCATTCTTGAACATTCCTTTCAGCAGCAAGGAGCTTTAAAACGCCGCAATGTCTTTAAACAAAGGTAAAACATCAGGGATAGACATAGGGCAGAGTTCTATCAAGAATGCTGGGATATTTACGGAGAAGAACTTACCGATCTTATTAACGGTAATGTCTTTGATGTAAATAAGAAGCTGTCCTGGTCGCAAAGAATAGCGCTCATCAGTCTACTTTTATGACTTTTAGTTTGTTTTTTCAGTTCGAAAAAATAAAAATAAAAATAACCGACAAACAAACAAAAACAGAAAAAAAAATGGATGTATAAGATCGCTTCTCGGCCTAATGGTTAAGATCAAATGTAGTATCTGTTCTCATTTTGGCACCAGACTATCTCTCAATTGGTTACGATGTTGTTAGAAAGCATAAACAGCACAAGATCAAAACTGTGATAGAGGTTCTTAGCGTAATCGCTTTTTCAGTGTCTCTTTCTACTTCCGGAAATCTCAAGGCGATCCGTCCACTCCGGACGTTAAATAGAGATAAACCATTAGGTTGGCGTTGCTTGGCTTCGGCTCAGTGGCAAATAAACCCCTAAGTGGACCATACGCGGAGATTTGGCTCCCTAATAACACCGCTTTCTAGGGCCCTGTGTAGTTTCAGTGCCTAGTTTCAGCAGCATGTGTCTCTAGTTGGACGGATAAAAAAAATCAATGGAGGTATATTACACAAATACAATTATATATAAATTATGCCTATAAATATGATATGCAATGTGTATGCATATATACAATAAAGTATAAAACAAATAAATTTAATTCCGATAAAAGTTGAATTTAACGTTGTGCAAACGTAAAATACAACGTTTCGCCAGCGTAAATTTAAACATTGGGCCTCCGTAAAATACAATGTTGAATCAACGTAAGATACGCAATGACGAATTAAAATTCAACATCGGGCCAACGTTATTTTGTTGTTGTTAGCGATTTCGCATTTTTAATCAAAATGATATAAAAACAACGTTGGCGGTTGATGTTGGGCCAACGTTGTTTTTATATCATTTTGGTTATAAATGCGACATCGCTAAGTTTATATCTAGTTTTGTTAATAAAATTTAATGAACTAACTAAATGAAATAACAGTGTCAAAAATTTTACTGAGATCAATAAATACACCTAATGTATATTTATTTCATCAAATGATTTAAAGAAGCCATGAAATGATTTAAAGAAGCCATGAACAAGAATTATTATTGAAAGACATTAATTGCAACCTGTTTTTTCAAACTATTATTTCTGATTTTTTTTAATTTTTGCCTTAAATTGCGATGGTAATTGATTTTTACATTAGACTCTAAAAACTTTTTTTGGAATATTTGTTAAACATAAAAAAAAAAAAAAAAACTTTAAAACAAGGAAAAACAGATAAAAATTAATTGATGTCTTCACAATATTGATTATGTTGAATTAATATATTTGATGAATTTTCTGCAATCGGTATATGTAGAATTACCTTTATTTGTGTTTGGATAATAACCATGGGCTAAAACATTACCAGCTCCATAAAAAAGAGTTGGATCTCGTTCTTGCTGTTGAAAACGATATACAAAGGATACATCTATATCGGCATACTCATCGCTACTTTTCTCAAGTTTGTGAAATCTTAGGTTTGTTACTGCTTCCCATCTTGCAAAAGCTTGCTGTAGAGTGTCTTCTACTTGACTTCGACTCAAATTGTCGTTATTGTCATTTAATAGTTTCCATGTTAAATCCTAAAATAAATTATTTGTTGTTTAGAATGAGACAAATAGAGTTAATTATTTAAAAGCAAAATACAATCAAAAACTTTTACTAATTTTTTCCATTTTGATCCCTGAGGAGTATATCTTCTTATTCTTGAGTCTTGTGATTTATTATTGTCCGATATTTCACGATTCTCATTCTCTATTATAGTAGTAAATTTTTTGTTAAAAACTGCTGTTTCAGGAATATAACCAAACGTTGTTAATGATCGACGGATTTTTTTTTTAGACCTTTTATCAAGTGTCAGTTCGAACAGTGAATCTTTCAAATTTAAGTGACCATTCGTAGACATGTAACGCTGAAGTTTTTATAATAAAAAGTTAAAATAATAATAACTTAACGCTTTAAATTTTTCAAGTTAGTAAAAAAATTACTGTTAAAAATTTAGAAAAACAATAAAACATTGGTTACAGAAGGTGTCGTCCATAAAGCTCGTACGCTAGTTTAAAAATTTGACCTCACCCCCACACTCCCCCTGTTGCCGTACGTACTTTTAAGTCCCCTCCCCCTTCCCTACCGCCCTAAAATTTACGCATGCTTTTGAATTAATCCCCCCTCCTTTTTTTTTAATAATTAGAAAAGTTTTAATTTTAAAAAATTGTAAAAGTTAAGAAATATTTTCTTAATTAGACCGTGCGTCTTTAAAAGTTGATGATACCCCCTACATCCATTACTTTACTGAAAAGTTTTGGCAGATTCCTTCTCCCTAATCTCTCATACATACATATTCCAGCTCTATTAGGGGGTGTGGGGGAGCATTGCCATGGCTCAGATATATATATATATATATATATATATATATATATATATATATATATATATATATATATATATATATATATAATATATATATATATATATATATATATATATATATATATATATATATATATATATATATATATATATATATATATATATATATATATATATAATATATATATATATATATATATATATATATATATATATATATATATATATATATATATATATATATATATATATATATATATAATATATATGTATATATATATATATATATATATATATATATATAACATATATATATGTATATATATATATATATGTATATATATATATATATATATATATAATATATATATATATATATATATATATTATATTTATATATATATATATATATATATATATATATATATATATATATATATATATATATCGAGAAAATAAATTTATATATATATATATATATATATATTAATCGAGATATATATATATATATCGAGAAAATAATATATATATATATATATATATATATATATATATATATATATATATATATATAAAATATATATATATATATATATATATATATATATATATATATATATATATATATATATATATATATATATATATATATATATATATATATATATTAATCGAGAAAATAAATTTGGGCTCTTGACAGACATAAAATCACTTAGTAATTTTCCTGCAACAATTAATAAGGCAATATTATTATTAGTTAGTTAGTTCACTAAAATATTTCTCTCGGTTTGTTCATTAATTTCATCATCAAAGAGTGATAAAACTGTAATTTTTTCTGACAATTACCAAAAATGTTGAGAAAACTTGTTCAAGGTTTTATAGATCAATTTGTCAACAACTTCGTATTCCTTTTTATAAAGCAAAAATCTTTATTTGGTGCCTTTACATCATCATCAGACTAAAAGTCATGTATTCAAAAAACATCATTATCAGACTACATCCAAGTCATGTATTGAAACATACAACTGCAATGAATAAACAAATTTCAAGAAGTGTTCGTTTATCCTTGGCGCTAATTTTGATCTGGGATTGTAACAAACATATCTTTAAAGAGTTAATAGCTCTTTTACCTTGCTTGATATATTGCTCCAGTAGGTCTAATTTTATTTTTTTTCTCATTATCACTGCCTGAGAAAACAACAGGTAGTTCAATCAGTTGTTTTACTATAATGTTGTTTGACGATATCAGGGTATGTTTCAATAGCAGCCAGATTAATAGTTTTCCAGTTGTCTCTATACTTTTTGAACATTGGGATATCAGGGCTACTTGTGACTTGGTAGATTTTTGTTTCAAAAACAAATTTTAAAACCAAGTCATTAACGTGATGGCAAAAAGTAGTAATTCTCATGTCTAGTTTTTGTTCAAAAAGTACCCAAGCTCTTTTTAATGGCCCTGTATTAGACGCTGTTGTGCCACAGAACATTATTTGTATCAAGGTTTCAGTCATAAAGTGCGTTTAACACAGCTTCAGCTTGATCTTGGCCGGAAGTACTCTCCATTTAAGGTACAGCCAGCAGTTTCTTTTCTCTAAATAAAATTAGAATTGCCAGACGTTCTTCTTTAGAACTTCTTACATCCGTTTCAGGTAATAATATCCCATCCCAGTGATAGGTCATCATTTCAGAGATATTATTCTTAAAATCTGATTTTATAGGTTCCACTCTATCTTTCCTACTTTGTGTGCAAATACGTTGAAGAGACAATTTGATTAGCGGAAATCATCACAGCTCAGATCAAGTGCTTCTATTACAAACAGAACCCCTTATGCTTAATTGACATTCCTTATGCTTAATTGACATCCCTTATGCTTAATTGACATCCCTTATGCTTAATTGACATCTATCTAAAGCTGCAACAAACTTGATAAAGTTCTTTCTTTCTCTTTTTGTAGTAATTTCAGAACTTACCATTTAAGAGGTTGATGGTAAGGGTTCCTCAAGGTTTTTATTGGTGCTGGTGTATTCATTGTGATGTTCTTACGTTTGTATAAAATCTTGTGTTGTAAGAGATGATGATAAACATTTTTTTGTCTATTTTCTTCTTCTTTCAATTTTCTTTGTCATGCCCTTTCTTCTTTTTTGGCCAATTTTTTTTTCTACAACCTCTCAACATTCTGGACGCCCTAGTTCTCTTTGTATTGGTAAAAACATTTAATCTTCTACTATTTTTATTTCTTCCAAAGCAATGCATGTGTTATATAAAATAAATTATCTAAATTGTTCTGAAAGTCCTCCTCAACGGCGCCTGTAAACATTTTATTTTTGTTTTTGTTGCATGATTCTTTTTGCAACTCTCTCCAAGGATGGTGAAGATCTACATGTATGCAGTTAAGTATAACTTTGGTAGCTTTTGGTTTTCTTTTTTTGGCTTTTTTCAAAAATATAATACACTCTTGAATGAGAAGATTTGTGTTTTCACTGACAGTCATTTAAACTTCACGAGTGTTTAAAAAAAGTACTGCTAGAACTTGACGGTTTGAAGGTAACTTTGCGCCTGTTATTTACAGGTTTATTCAAAGTTATAAGTACACATATTCAAATTTATAAATGCGCGTATTCAACACTATAAGTGCGCGCATTCAACGTTATAAGTGTATAAATATATTTTTACTTTTATTTTATACTAATTAATATGGAACGAAAAACTAGAAAACAAATGAAACTAGAAATTTAATTATTTCGATGAAAAATTCAGAAAAATATTAATTTTAGTGCTTTTTCTTAAATGTAAAACAGTATGTGTCACAAGATATGTAAAATATGTGTTAACTACCAGAATGTAAAATATGTGTTTATTTCGAGAATGTAAAATATGTGTTAATTGAGAGAATAACTAAATTAGGGTTATCTTAAAATAGAGATTAGCCTAAAACGGTTTTTACAATGTCACAAATTTAATAACAACTTTCTATATTCAGTTATTGTAAATAGATAATTATTATTTATTTACTATTATCAAATATTTTCAGATTATCAAGATAACAATTATCTACTTTTAATTATAAATTTTGCGTCATTGTGAAAACCGCTTTGAGCATACCTGCTCTTTTAAGAAGTGTCGCGAGCAAGCGAAACTACTGCGCAACTTGTATAAACATGACTGGTTGCTGTATGAACCTGTATGAACATGATTGATTGAATCAAGTCGGCACGGGTTATCGTACTCCAAGTAAGGTAAAAATTTATTTTCGAGTGTTTTAAATGCAAATAAACAAAACTAATATATATATATATATATATATATATATATATATATATATATATATATATATATATATACTAGTTTTGACTAATATATATATATATATATATATATATATATATATATATATATATATATATATATATATATATATATATATATTAGTTTCAATTCAAAAGAGAATCTAAACGTTTTCTATTAGAAAAAACTTTCGATTTTAAAGATTTCTTCTAAAATCACCTAAAATAATTAAACCTGAAAAAGTCATCACTACTCATTTACTATTGTCTTGTGTATCTTGTTTATTTCTTATTAAAATAAAAAATATATATACTATCAATTTTGAACAGACAAATAACATTTATTCGATTTATTACTTGTGTCTTATATTTGTCGAACTAATATTGTATTGTACTTCAATTTTTAACCTTTTAGTTTTTAACTTGTAACTTTGTGACGTTAATGTAAACGGAGCTTGGCGATAAGACAGTTTATGTCTTCTTCTTGCTCCGGCCAATTTTTATACATGAATGGTTTTTTCTCATTGTAAATTTAATTATACGGCAAAGAAAATATAATAATAATAATATAATATATATATATATATATATATATATATATATATATATATATATATATATATATATATATATATATATATATATATATATATATATATATATATATATATATATATATATATATATATACATATATATATATATATATATATATATATATATATATATATATATATATATATATATATATATATATATATATATATATATATATATATATATATATATATATATATATATATATATTTTTGTAACGTCTTTTAGTAACGTTTTTTCAACGTTACGCAAAAACGTTTAATCAACGTCTCTTTAACAACGTTACATATCTTTGCAAATTTGATTACTTTGTCAACGTTTCCGCAACATCTTTTGCGATCGGTTTTCAACGTTGATTCAACGCTGACATGTTTGCTGGAACAAGACTGAACATATCAAAGGCAGATGGAACCAATGTTAATACTAGTCATTTGCGTGGTTCCATTAGATATTTGGAAGCTTTACTAGGAGTTATATTGCAGTGGGCTATTTAAATTTTGCGCCTAAATGAGTTTTAAACATTTAAAAAAAAAAAAACTTTTAAGGCCTATTTTCATGAAAATTGATGAAAGTAGAAGATATATTATCTGGAGCTATTGGTTTACAACTGAGTGTTAATGTTTGCAAATGGGGTATTTAGGCCAATTCCAAATCAAAA